ACAGCTCTCTGGTCTTCATGTCAGTTTATCCTTTTTAACAATAAATGCAGTCTTCACAGACAAAACCCAGGGCTCAAACCAAGACTAGACATTCAGAGCTATTAATTGTTTAAACAGTCAATCTAGCAGGGCACACCTGGGCAACAAGAAACACCTGTTCCAATATTTTTGATCACTTGAACAAATGGGTGGGTTCAAACAAAAGGTGCCATGTTCTAATTTGTTTAACACATCTAGATATAAATATCAGAAAATGAAAGCTGAAATTCTGATCTATCATCTCATATTCCTCTTTTGATCTCAAACCCAAATGTCTTCAGTGTATGGCAAAAAAAAGAATTAGCCTTGCCGTTCTAATACTTTTGGAGGGGACGGTGTGCGTGTATACACACACACACACACACACAGACAGAGCATTTGCTTGGCTGTGATGTGTTTAGCGAGTTTAGCATCGGCACCATATTGGAGCACTATGCGGCAGACTTAACAGGCCCGGCAACAAGGCATTACATGCTTCACGTTGCATTGTTATGTATGGTGCAGGAACCGTAATATGCTGTGAATCTTTGTAAAAACTAAAGATCTCAGTGTGGAGTCCTTTTAAATTACTGCTCTGTCTTCTATTTCCATATAATAAATGGGAAAAAAGAACTTTGTATTATGTTGTTACAAAAATTAAGTTATACTGTATCAAGTAGCCATTAATTTAGATTTGAGTAGCTTCACCCAAGGATTGCTAGTGTATTATAGAATAAATCAGCTCATAAACATACAACAGCTATCAACCAGGGAGGTTCAGGCAAATGTGTTTCCTACAAGGCACATGAAACCTCTGCATCTTTTTGAATTGCTGCTCATGCTGCTGCACAGGGCTGCGTAACACACTCGGAGGAAAACTCTATCTACCCTCTTCCGCGTATATGATCCCAGATGATGAGTCCACGATAGTCTTGTGTCACTGTGATTGACAGAGAGCGAGTATGCCATTCCTCCCACCGAGAGACCACGGCCACTCTGCATGACAGTGGCAGCGCTGGGATTCGAACTCAAGATCTCCTGATGCTAGAGTGAGCGCTTTTCTGTTTGGGAGCTGGTTTAGGTTTGTCTTGAAAGTTGGTAGAGACACATGAAAGGTATGGTCCATATACACAATACTAATAGCTAGAAAGAACAGCTATTATTATTAAGCCTGAAATGTTGGTAAAGATATTTCAGCTACTGTGAAACTTGGTAGGTACGTGTCTCTACCATCATTACCCACATGTACACCTATGTATGCCTCTGACTATGAGTACTAGTAATTCTAAAGTAAGCTGCTTTGTTTGGAAAGCTTAGGGACAGTCACAAGAACAGTCAGTTCCAGTCGTGCCAACTGCTGTAGTACTAACACTGCACCACTGTTTAGTGGTGATTAAATAGAACTGGAGATGTGTGTGTTTGTGTTTCAGTAGGCTTTCAGTCATATACATCTGCAAAATGCATTTTTCAGTGATTCAAAAGCTAGATAGATAATGTTTTTTGAAATTGTTGTTTGAGTTTGGCCACCTTTATTTTTAGGTGTGTGTCTGCCTGAAAAGGATGGTATGTCCAATCAGAAACCAGGCTCTTGACTTACTATAATAGCAATCCCCACCTTCCAGCAACCATCAATAATTAACATTTGACAATCCAGAGAGAGAGAGAGAGAGAGAGAGAGAGATGGGGGTGCAGAGGTGCAGAAGGGAAAGAAGCATGGAGGGGAGAAAGAAGCAAAAGCATAGAATGAGAGCATGCAAACATCAGAAAACAAGAGCAAAATAAAAAAAGAGAGCAGAATGTAGAAGACAAAAGCGAAAAGACCCATAATAGAAACAAAGACAGGAATTCGATAAAACGTTATGAAGTTGTGAAAGGTGAGAATACAGAAATTAACAGCATGGTAAATATGGGGGAAAGTGGGAAAGCTTGTAGGTGAGCGTGACAGAGAAAGGGAGGGAGATGCAGCAGCACCACACACTTGGTGCTCCAGTAGGTGCCTATAAATAGCACTTCCAATCTCTGAAGAAAAAAAAAGCTATTCGGCTTCTGCTGTAAACCAACCATAAGAAAACAGGCATCAGGAGAATGTGCACAAATACTGTACTTCTCCATTTGCATGCATGTTTCTCTTGTGATGTTACAGTAACAATCAATCAGAGTTTGGAGATGCAGTGACCCATTTACGAAGCAAACAAATTTATACATAAATTGTTTGCAGAAGCATATACACAAGATCTGTATTCAGGAAAATCTTGTTAGTTTGGAAAAACTTGCGCTACAAAAGCTCCTGTATAAATTTATCTCTAATGAGACTCACTAATGGTAATTGATTGATATGCTTCACATCATATAACTGGCATGACATACTGCAATTTTATATACAGATTATGTTGTTTAAATAGCTTATTTATTTCAATTTCAATCAGGGCAACAATGCCGCCCTTTTAAAAGAACGAAGAGTCAGTGTGCGTCTACGGTACTTCACGGGTACCTGGCATTTATCAACATGAACATGTGAGTAAGAAGAAAATCAGCTTTACCAAAACCTCGTGGAAATTTTTAGCTTGGTTCGGCCTAAAAGATTTTTATGCTTAACTTTAGTAAATGATTGAGAAATGCGGTCCGTTATGTGCAAACCGCATTAAGACGTAATACTGTGGATTCTCCCTCATCAATATCTGAGCAGTGCTTCCTGCTAAACATGAGCCAGAATCACCGGCGTCTATGACTCACTGCTGTACGTGGGAGGACCGCACCAAATAAAGCTGCACATTGTTAAAGCTGACACCAAGCTCTCATGGCCAAATATCAGAGAAAATAGCAGAGTGCTCTCAAACAGGAGAAAGACTGCTTCTGGTGTAGTTAAACCAATTTGAGAGATTATTATTATTATTATTATTATTACATTTGTACTTTAAAGCTGCTTTGAACATTTAGGGAAAATGTTCTTGGCATCTGAGAAGCCATTAGTAAAATATGTCCAGTCTTTGTAAAAGTCCCAACCAACATGTTAGCTAATAACACCAAATTTGAACCAAACAGCACTAAATAAATAGCACATGGAGGCATTTGTGCATGCCTGTTATTTTGCACATGCACATGTATGTTGCAAGAAATGCAAATATATCAGAAAGAGAAAACAGACACATGCTAATGCAAACCATATTTTTGTACAAATATCAAAAATGTCAGGCAGACAGATTTTACCAATAAAATGAGAATAGATCAGGAAAAGAAAGAGGGGGAAAAAATGGCTCTGTGGATTTCTTTTGGTGAAGAGAGCTGAGCGTGTTAAACAGTTTGTCACTTTTCACTGAAATCGCAGCTCTGTGTCGCACACATACATAGAACATGAACGCTCGCCCTTCACGTTGTCGCTCGCTAGTGTGAACACAAGGTAAGACTCTTTGCTACTCTTCTTAAGGTTGGCCATGGTGACAACATGAAAGGAACTTAAACAATGGCCAGACCAAATGAGAATAAAATTCGCCTTTCAAGAAAGCTTGAAAGAAGCTTAAACAAGTCACAAAAAATGTGATAATGCAAACCAACGTCAAGTCAAAGTCAATCTTATGTCACAGAAAATGTAACTGAAATATGAAGTATTTTACTGTGCAGTTTCGATGCCATGTCTTACATTAAGCACAACACTTTTAGAAACTGACCACAATGGGACTGGGACTCGCCATTTTAGCAAACAAGAAGAAATATGAGAAAATCAATTTTATCTAAATTATTCACGATGGTGGTGCTTGTACTTACAGCAAGTTGTAATTATCCGCTTTATCAATTTATCTGGGCGAGAGGCAGGAATGTTTTCCTCCACTGAACATATGAGGGTTGATGTGGTTCTAACAACGAGGAGAGTCGCGTTTCACTACAACTGTACCCACTGGATCTATACTGGAAACACATGTTACATAAGGCTTAAAGAAGTATCGCTTTCACAACTGAAGGGTGAAAAAGGTTTGTGAAATGAAATCACAGGCTACACAGCTACGTAGTGTCCGGTTCAGCACACTTTTCACAAACACACTGATTTTCCTGGCATTTGTAAAGGTCTTTGCTTTTGTAAGGCATGTTCTTACCGATTGTTTCTGTGGAAAGCAAATGGCTTTTCTGTATAGGTTAGGCTTGTTTTGAAAATGATATAATATGCATATTGAACAAAACATCAAACTGCAACTGATGTGCAAAACACAATGAACATGACACTTGGGCTGGACAGCAAGGCAATACCTCACACTGTATAAAAACAGATAATGGTAAGAACATTTGAGTAGCGGAATGCAATCAGGATCACGGCTCTAGGAAGGCCACAGAACTACAGGTTAGTTTATTCTACAACTGAATTTACACAAGAGAACAGACAGATATGCGTAAATATAGATAGATACACTCAGTCACCAATCACAACTTCTTGTGCTTCAGAAGAAGAACTATATTCGACGACGTATATCATCATCATCAAGCGTATCGCACACCACATTCAACCACAGCAGAAACGGTCTTTCAGAGTCTCTACTGGTGGACAAATTCCTTCTGGCTTCTCATTTCCACCGCTGTATCTCTCACTGCTGCCAAGCATAGTAAAACAATACTTTCACAACACCTTACATCTGCTGTTATCTCACTACGTAATGTCATATAAATGAGCACAGTGACACGTTTTTACAGCTGGGTAATCAAATAAGCCTTGTGACGTTGTAAGCCTCATGGTGACGTCGAGGCACTTAAATCTAAAGTCCACTCAAAACTTTCTTGAGACATAGCTCTCTGTTGTAGTGGACTGCGGTCTGGAAACGGAGCAAACCGAGTACATGGGGGGAAAAAAATACAATAGCAGAGCTGATGATCGCAGTATGTCGTTAATTGACTTTAGTTTTCTAAACATGAACCACGCCACTTGTGTAGTAGATTCTCTGTTGCAGTTTATCCTATCACATGCATTTATGTAGATTGTTTAGCTGAAGGTAAGTGGATCCCTGGAGGACTAGTGGTTAGGCCTCGGTGCTCTCACCACCCCGGCCTGGGTTCGATTCCCGGCCAAGAAACTGACCCCAGGCACTGGGGTTGCATGTGATAGTGCACTCCCAGTTCCAGTCCCAAGCCTGGATAAAACTGGTGAGGGTTTCATCAGGAAGGGCATCCAGCGTTCAAAACTGTGCCAAATCAAACATGCGGACCAATAATCCACTGTGGCAACCCCTAACGAGAGCAGCCGAAAGAACAACATTTAGCTGAAGGCAACTCATTGGATCAGAGACTAGCTACAGGGGGGAGAGACATTAGTTCAGAAAGTGATGGATTTTCATATTTTCACAGATTTTTCCTTTTATTTACCCCCTGTGGTCTGATTAATGAAATACTGACATTGTTTAAAGAAAAGTCTCTTAAAACTTTTAGCTTTAGTCCAATTCATAATGTAGAGTGCTACTTAAAAAAAAAAAAACCTAACTACATCAAATTGTCTTATTTATAGGCATAAATATTAAATATATCAAAATATTTAATATCAAATATTAAAAGGTAACTTCTGTCAATACTGTGGTCATGTTAGTCACTTTTCCAGACATTTCCTAAGCAATGAAGTTTATGTAACTGGACCTTTACAAATTTTAGCTGACTATCCTTGGTCTAGACTCAAACACGATGAAATTAAGACATAACAGTGCTTAAAAAAATTGTTTTTATTTAATGGTGTTTTTTCAGTCATTTCACTGGAGTTGTTCTTTATGGTCTGTGATGAATTAGTTGAGTTGTTGGGGGTTTTGTTTTTATACAAGTTCAGTCAACATTTAACAAAACTGGTGTATATAAAATCAACAAAATGCATAGCTGGAAGTGCGACTAAGCCTAACACATTACACATTCTGTAAATTATTCATTGAGGGAAAACTTTCCGAGCTTCACATTTGTTCCCGGAGTGATTATTCACCGGGTGTCAGGAAGCCAGATAAAATCAGGAGCTCTCTTTCTGTCTCTCTTCATGGATGCGACAAATCCATCATTCTGGAAACAGCTAGGAGAGCTAATATTAGTAGGTTAGCCTCCTTAGCTAGTCTGAATGAAAACGCGGTCCACCCATAAATACATATTGTCCTAATGATACTATTTATAAATATAAGTGACAAAAGGTAGAAAACAAATTTATGTATAACGTTTAAAGCTTACATGGTTAAACATTTCTTTTAGCTACGCCGTATCACGCTAGCGAGATTGCTAGCTAACTAATTAGCCTTTTGCCATGTTCAATAAGCGGCTCAGGACGCCTGCTAGTTAACTAGCCAGCTAGCTGTAGCTATAGCCAGGTTTGAAGCAAGCAACGGGTTAGTTAGCTAGCTAAGTTACATTACTAACACCGGCTCTGTGTCAATAGGATACATGAGCGACACTGGGGATAAACTTGTATCAACTTACCGTGGCTTTACTTGAGCATTCAAAGCAGCCAAACTCCACCGTTATCTACTGAGCTTCGACACCGGTTGATTAAAATGTTAGCTAAGCTCTATCTGATTTGTCCGTCTAGTTTTGCTAGCGTTAGCGCTCTAACACTGAACCATTAACTTAGCGTGCGAGAAATCCTAGGCATAAAATGCCGGTGTGCAGGTGTTGCATGCAGTGAGCTAAACACCTTCAGCACTTCTGTGCATGTGTGTGTCTGGTCACTGAATAACAGCCTGCAGTGTCTAAATGCAGCTCCTGCACACCAGCTCCTGCACTGTGGGACTCTCACTGGCCGCCTGTCGCCTGTCAACCCCGTTAGCTAAACACGCTAGTCCACACAGCGGCTCGTTAATGCTGTTAGAGCCGCTATCCGCTATCCACTAGCTAGCTTAGCTTAGCTTAGCTTAATTTAGCTTAGCTCGTTTCATGTCTCCGGCACTGTCAGACGCGCTGTGTGAGAGAGCGCACTTCAACACAAATCCGCTATGATTCCACATATCTACTTATAACAATAGCAATATAATGTCAACAAAAAAACGCACATGCGGCTGTTGGTTAGGTGTAATATAATGCCACTGTGAGGGAAAACACAGAAAAGCAAATTACAAAAAAAGCTAGCTTGATATGTGTGCCTTGTCTCACCTTTGTAATAACGCTATTAAATTGACATTAACATCAGTTTAATGTAGACTAATTTAAACTTTCCCAGCTTCCACCCCCAGGGATATCTATCTATCTATCTATCTATCTATCTATCTACACTATATGGCCAAAAGTTTGTGGACACCTGACCATCACACCCATATGTGGGTCTTCCTCACACTGTTGCCACAAAGTTAGAAGCACACAATTATCTAGAATGTCTTTGTATGCTTTAGCATTACAATTTCCCTTCACTGGAACTAAAGGGCCCAAACCTGTTCAGCATGACAATGCCCCTGTGCTCAAAGCGAGCTCCATGAAGACACGGTTTGCCAAGATTGGAGTGGAAGAACTCGAGTGGCCTGCACAGAGCCCTGACCTCAACCCCACTGAACGCCTTTGAGATGAACTGGAACGCCGACTGCACACCAAGATTTCTCGCCTGACCTCACTAATGCTCTCATGGCTGAACCCACAGCCATGTTGGAAAAATCTAATCGATAGCCTTCCCAATAACCAGTGAAGGTTATTATAAAAGCAAAGGGGGACTAAATCTGGAATGGGATGTTCAGAAAGCACATATGGGTGTCAGATGTGTGATATGGGTCAGGTGTCCATAGTGTGAGCCATACTGTGTATCTATCTCTTCTGTATGTTCTTTATGAGGTCAGAGGGAAATGGCCAGGTTCAAGCTGCCAGGAAGGATATAGTAGCTCATATAATCACTCTTTACAACCATGGTGAGCAGAAAAGCATCTCAGCATGCACAAAACTTTGAACCTTGAGGTGGATGGGCTACAACAGCAGAAGACCACATCAGGTTCTACTCCTGTCAGCCAAGAACAGGAATCTGAGGCTATGATGGGCAGGTTCATCGAAACTGGATAGTTGAAGATTACTAAAAAAGTCACCTGGTCTTGTTCCAGCCTTCAACTGTAAAGTTTCGGTGAGTCTGTGCTCATGATAGCCTCAGATTCTTGTTCTTGGCTGACTGGAGTGGAACCTGATGTGGTCTTCTGCTGTTGTAGCCCATCTACCTCAAGGTTTGATGTGTTGTGCATTCTGAGATGCTTTTCTGCTCACTACGGTTATAAAGAGTGGTTATTTGAGTTAGTGTAGCCTTCCTGTCTAGCCATTCTGTTCTGACCTCTGACATCAACAAGGAGTTTCTGCCCACATAACTGCCACTCACTGGATGTTTTTGTTTGTTTGTTTGTTTGTTTTTCACACCATTCTGTGTAAACTCTAGAGACTGTTGTGTGTGAAAATCCCAGGAGATCAGCTGTTTCTGAACTACTTAAACCAGCCAATCTGACACCAACAACCATGCAGTGGTCAAAGTCCTGAGATCACATTATTTCCACATTCTGAGGTTTGATGTGAACATTAACTGAAGCTCTTGACCTGTAAGTGTACATAATAACTTCATTCATGTATTCATTTATGTAGCATGAACTGTATGATTGAATAGAGAAGTATGATGGACTCTTAATAATGCCTTACTTTTTCTTTAAACACATTAGTAAGTATCCAGAGTAGCAGTAGCAATATCTACTGTATTGTGCCAATTGACATAACATATAACTAACCTAACAAACAAGTATGTTAAACTTTATACCTTAGATCAAAAGCCATTCCAAACGTTATGGCCTTAGTTGGAGACTATTTTGGTAAGTTTTATACAGGAAGGAACATATGACAGTGATTTTAGCAGGATAACTATAATAAAACCTTTGCCACAGACAGCTGAAAATGAGAAATCACAGTTCATTGTTCTGTCTTGGTATTTCTTTTAACTACGTTAAAGTGCTGTATTGGCTAAAATGATTGAGATGATCGAAGTTCTCATCTGGGCACTAGATGTTCCATAGAGCTACGGAGAGAGCTGAGGTGATGCAATCTATTTCAGTTTCATAGACACAGCTGGAAGGCATAGTCTGACAAAACTTCTTGGAGGCCTTTTTTTTTAGTTTCTTTGTTTTATTTTGTTTTTTTTTTTTAACAAAAATATGGAAATTGTTCTCTTTTTTACCCTATTTGCAGAAAATTGTGATGCTTGCTATGTAAAAATTTGTGTTTTATTTTGAATATTATTTTAATGTTCCTTTGTATTATATGCTTTGGGTAGGAGCCATTTTGCTGATGTGTTGCAAGATCCCTTATGTAATAAAATACTAATAACCCATTAAAGACAATAACCCATTAAAGAACAATAAATTCCAACTATTATTTGTGTCCTGTCCCATGCCAGATAGAGTTAAATGATAATGGGAGGGAATTACAGTTACAGTCCCCAAAGATTCATATTCACTAAACTTAGAGTGAGGCTACACTTAACCCATGTTTCATATGTTTGTGTCCTTCTTGGACTCCTGGAGCAGACTCAGACTCCTGAAACAACTTAACTAAGTCATTTTAGTTACTAAGTCTCAAACACTACTCAAAACCCCACAGAAGGTGACATAAGAGAGCATCTTATATGTTCATTATATGTTAATTGTATGTAGTGTCAAACCAAATAACTAGTGAACCAAAAGTATGGATTTTGCTCTGATTCACTCTCTGTAAATTGATTTATAGGGGTGAAAGCACCCAAAAGAGCTCTGTTTAAAGTGTATCACAGATTTCATCTTGACCTAAACTTCTTTGTACTTCTGTGTAGCTCCACCTTGTGGTCTATCTGTATTTCACAAACATTTAAACAGCCATACCATTGTAAAACTCTTAAGGGACTACAGGCTATTTTCTTGAAATGTGCACTTTATGTACTGTGTCTGTGGTGAACGTTTGGATGTGTTTGATTTTCCTGTTTTTTTAATTCTAATATAATTAATTTGTTTTTATATAGAGGAACATGGCATGCATCCTTTGTCTCTGTGTCGTGCGTTTACCTCATCTTTCTGTAGAATTCTTTTTTTCCCCTAAAAACATATAATTCGTCAGAACTGAACTCGCAGTGCACCCC